AATGAGCTCGTTATTTCATTAAGGAAATTCTTACGGTGTTTCCGAGCTGACAAATTGCATATCCACAGTTTCCTGAGATGATGGGAAAATGGCCTCATATGACGAAGCTAAACCTAATATGAATTTATAAAGAAAAACAATGAAATCCCACTCACCTCTTGTCTTAGGGAAACACAAAGTCCTTAACTAAGTATGTTCTATAGTACCACCTCGCCGGACATGCTGTCGAAATACTTAGTCGCTGGTGGCGCTTTTAAGACCATTTTCAATCTTCCTTCACTACGTGCTGCATTCGGAAGGAGGTAAAATTAACCGCCTTTGGTATAGAAACAGTCGCCACCTTTCCGTTATTTTTTTGTAGAGAGTGCTGAGCGCGGCTTGGTTAACGAATTACGCAATTACAGGCTCCATTTTGTCTAGCCGAGTTCAAAACATTCGCACGGGATGCGCTTCGATGTTTCAATGTCATCGAGCGAGAGCAAATAATTTGTGTTTGGTAGTAGACCAATAAGGCACAATCGGTTCAGGCTAATTAGGTTTCCGGTGACTAGGTTAGGCTAGGATGGCTGCCTGCTTAGGTGGAGGCTGACTTAGGACCGTTTTCACCATCTATGTAATCTCCACAAAAACATCTTTACCGACGTTACCGACACAATGTTCTATGCATAGTCCGACCGAGTTTTCGTCTTATAGGATGATGGCACCACGTAACCCACTCAGTTCACAGGGTTTTTGTTTCAACACCCAGGGCTCCTGAATGGCTGTTATGTGTTGTTTTGTCTGCAGCACGGTTAGCCGTCTACTTATAAGAGAAGTAGCGGATCAATTATTAAAGAATTTGTCCCGAAAAACAGACTCAAGCGATTTTCGTACCTTGATCCGATGGTATCCACCGAGTCCTGGCCCATCTTCACAATCATAGTAGCACCTTCTCAGGTGCCAACCTTTTTGTGAGAGATTAGGCGCCAGTGCTTGGTGTCAACCCCCGAATTTTGGGCACGGAAGCTGGAGAGCACGTCCGGGAATTTCAGAGGGTTTTTACCGTCATCCTCCTACTACCCGGACGCACGAATGCCATTCGGGACACACACACCAAGTGGACTTTTGTCGATATTTATTGTATGCATGCCTTACTTTAGGTACTATATTCTCTCGCCTTACCCGCACGCTGCAAATATACACGTATATTTCCTAGTGAAAGGACGACCCAACTAATCTTGCCTATATTCGGCACCCTACAACATCGCAAACAAATATAGAAAAAAGGTTTATTTCTTAACAGCGGTCGTCCCTCGGCAGGCAATGGCAAACCTCCGAGTGTATTTGTGCCATGAAAAACAGCTTCTCATAAAATTACAATCGCCATTCAGAGTCGGTGTAAAACTGTAGGTCACTCCTCTTAGTGGGACAACATCAAGGCGCACGCCACAAATTGGAGGAGAAGCTCGGCCTAACACTAACATATGTGTAAGCGCCAATCTATTATTATTATTATTATTAAGGAGAAGCAATTGAGACGTCATTAGGGCAGTTGACTTTGTGATTGTATCTTCGCTTCTTGGTGGTTGCTCTGGAGTGGAGTGAAGAGGTGCAGACGAAGATGAAGACGAAGCTGAAGCCGAATACGAAAATCACTGCAACTTTAATCAAATGCATTTGTAAAAAAGTTATCATAGTGCGTAGTGAAGACGAACATGATAATATTTTGTATATTGTCAATGGCAGGAAATTCGCTTTCAGCTTCGTCTTCATATCCATCTTTAGCTTTGTGTTTACACTTTTTGCAAGGTAAGAGCAGGATTAGTCTGTAGTTTTCAGGTTTAAGTACCGAGATGATGTGCTAGTAAGACCATATAGTACTTTAACGACGGTAGTGATAGGACCTCAAAAACATTCAGAAAAAGGAGCTGCCCACGCCGTTTTTACCTGCTTTCAGTAGTCGAATCAAACTATGATTTTTACCTATCTCAGTTGATGACCTCAGTCTGCAAGCGTACAATTGCGGTTTTCGGTTGATTTATTACCAATTTGCTTTGCTAAGTTCTGTAGAAAGTCTTTGAAAGTTTTAGCCTTTCCGATGTGTAAGTGAACTTCGTCTGAGTTTGTAGTAAAGAACACGCGGATTCAGATCGACGAGTCCATTCACAAGGCTTATCTCTACAAAATAATATCTGGCGATGTCATTCAAAGCTCTTATTGCTTGTGACTTGTGAACCTTAGATCTATTGGAGTATTTAGTTGTGTTATCGCTGCATATTTTGAACAATCTCTTTCCGCGAAGCTAGGGAAGCTTTCACTCTCGAGAAGATTGTTGTCGGCGGTTCTAGGCCTAGAGGATATGGGTCTGTTAGATATTTAGACATGTTCCTCCTTCAAATTATCAGATTGATAGCATTCACCCTGCAAGTTTGGAGTTAGTGTCGTTTTTGAGCTTAAATTTGTGTGGTTTGTTGGGTATTTCTCGTACTACTCTTCCTTTTTCTCGCACATTATTTGCGCAAACAATGTCTTCATTATTTAATTACGATGACGCGGCGGTTACCGACATCAGCTACACAACCACAGCTGAACATTCGAACGACACTCAACATGGTTGCATTTATTAGGTTTTAAGCAGAAGAAAGAGCACACAGAAAAGACAGTAAAATGAAGGCAAGTTAAGCAAGACAAAAAAAAGAAAAGAGGAAAAAATGTATACGTTTGCGAATTTATAATTAAGCATTTTAATGGCTGATGCTTTCGTGTGCTCACCGCCAGCCAGGACATGCTGCGACATATGTATATAAGTGTGTGTGTGTGGTTTTTCGCTGACAGGACATCACATCGCGATTGCCAGCCATAAATTGCAAAATTGCCACCCTTAAGGAATTTTCGAGTGTCGGCTGCTGTTCGCAGGCGATGGCCAACTTCTCACTCACAATGCATTGTTCATGACTGTGTGTCCTTTAAAATTGACTGCCGGTGCTTACTAGTTGGCTAAATGCGTTCATATGTAAATATGTACATACGTACATACATATGAACGAGTACGTGTGAATGTAATAAATATTTTTGTATGGCTATGTGTTAGCCGAGTTATTATGGCGTCATTGAGTGCTCGCTATAATATGGCACTGATGTGCGTGTATATGTAAATCTAGACACCGGTTTGCGAGTTATTCGGGAAATGCTAATTTGATAAAGACGGTTGCTCATTTTCAATTTAAGAAATAACCGGACATGATATATATTATCTGCTTTATTTTATACCTATACTTACTGTCAGTCAGAAATCATAACCAAATTTAAAAAAAAACCTGCTAAAAATAGGTATAAATGGCGATAATTTAGAAATAAATAAGACAAATAGGGAGGCTCTTGTTTGAAGTCAGCTAATAAATTTTGGATTACAAGTAAAACAGAAAAAAAAAATGCCAAATGCACACTTTATGGGGTTCTTCGATCTTACAAGATTTGATCGGTAAAACGACAGTCCTTTGTCGGGAAAAACTCGAGCACAGACGACAAACTATCTAGAGGATGAGAATACACAATCCGCTCAGCCAGACCGACTACAGAAATGTAGTCTGTCATGGACAGACCATTCATCGTGTATCACTTAACATCTTCGTCAATTCTCACACTTTGAACTCCATCGTCAGAGAACAACGCCACCTATCGCAGACGAAGAGTTGGATTTGCTTCGTAAGGCTCGCGATACTTTGACACAACTCCTTTCTGGATATTGTAGCAGGTTAAACTGTTCAGTCCAAGACTCTACCACCTCCTCACATGCCTACTCACATCAGATGATCTAACAAGCCTCTCGGATCTGGCATCTTCCTGAGCTTGCCGTTAGATGAGAATGAATACAGGAAGTAGTCGATTAAGGGCCATTTACTCAAAGCCTGGTTGGCACTAATCTCCGGTTAAACATCGTCACCAACGTCTTCGACTCCAAGCATATACCAGTGTGTCGGTAACGTCGATAAGTATTTAGACAGAGTTTAGTAAGCTGCTACAACTGTTGTCAGTGAAAGTTTTTGTTTTGGTCTTCCTTTTATTTTTAACCGACTTCAAAACAGGAGGAGGTTATCAATTCATTGAAATATTTTTTTTATGAATGTTGCCGCATAACTTTGGACCACGTGAATCGACTTCTTTCTGTTATTCTTATGTGTATTTTGCTTAGTTCCAATCCTTGGATTATGAAGAAATTAATGGTATTCCTAATTTATTTTAGAGAATTGAGGCTGGTTGTGTTTTTTTTTTGTTTTTGATAAAATTTACTTGTTTTAAGTAATTTTCTACAATCGAAAATTTTCCAGCATTCGGATATCCATATGTGTTAAGTTAATAAAAAAATTAGCAGTTTCATTTTCCATAAAATACGAATTCAGAGTTCAAAAAACCGCATAAGAATATTCAGAAAGACCAGTTTAAACGAGTTTCGAAAAAGCGAGTTAAGCACCCTGATATATGTGCATATGTATGTATGTAACAAAAAAAAACGCCTTAATATATTAACCAAAACCTGTTATATATACAGTGACGAACAAAAGTATTGACACAGTGAATTTTTCGCAATATATGCAAAGTTTTTTATTCTAATTTGTTTTCGATAATTTTTAATAAAAATATAGTTCATTTTACAGCAAAAAACATAAAAATAAAGTTTCTAAACTTTGTGCAAAACTCAGGAAATTTCAATAAATTTGCACACTAATTTTCAACTTTCTATTCAGATCTTTTAGAAAAATTCTAAGTACGCAGTTTTATAGTCCATTCAATTTTAGTATAACAAAATGCAAG